TGAACCCGAAATCCATCTGAACTGATTAATATCTGAACCGTATCTGAACCGACTCAGAACTAAACTGAAACTAAACTCATTTGATTCGAATCGAACCAATCATCTAGTTACTTGCACATATCCAATTCTTCTAAATATTCTACAAAATAAGAGGTGATAATAGTATTTTATTTTATCAAATGATCAACAACCTTACATATAACAACAACAACAACAACCAAGTTGAATCCCACATAACAACCTTACATATAATTTCACTCAAATCAAATCAGACTAGATCTTAACATATTAGATCAGACAAAATTAGATCAAATAAGATATCATCAAATTATATTAAATTGTTGTTGGAAGAAACTGAAAGGACATAGAAAAAATAGGAAGTTTTCCCTCTTCCCAATTTCATTCTCTCTCTTCCCAATTTCATTCTCCCTCTTCCCAATTTTCACCAAATTCATTTTCCCTCTTCCCAATTTCATTCTCCCTCTTCCCAATTTTCACCAAAATCATTTTCCCTCTTCCCAATTTCATTCTCCCTCTTCCCAATTTCATTTTCCCTCTTCCCAATTTTCACCAAATTCATTTTCTCTCCTCCCAATTTCATTCTCTTTCTTCCCAATTTCATTCTCCTCCTTCCTAATTTCGTTTTTCCGTTCAAAAAACATCGCCCAACCTTACCCGACCTTAATCGCCACTGCGCCTGTGCTGTTCGAGAGCGAAGCATTCGCCGAGAGCCTTCGCCGTCAGTCCCAGCCATCGCCAATTCGCCGAGAGCCTTCTCCGTCAGTCCCACTACCCAGCGCCGACTGCCCAGACGCCAATTCATAGCCTTCGCCGTCAGTCCCATGCCATGGAAGGTACTGTTCATTCGAAGTTTTATCTCTCCGATTCTATTGAATCCGTGTTGGAGTTCCCACATTGGAAAATAAAGATGAGTATCACTTGCATATATTGAAGGGTGAAACCCTACCTATCAGCTTAAGCTTTTGGGTTAGAATTGTAGATCCTGACTTTATATGCAAGTGATTAATTTTACCCGATACTCTATCCGTTGTTTCTTGGCCCGCTGGAATTTTAACATGATATCAGAGCAGATCCGGTCTGGGTTTGATTGTTCCTGGTTGTTTGGATGTGGGTTTAGCGAAAATGAGCTACCCATCTGTGGTTTGGGATGAGTTGGCTAAAAAGAGATTGAGATGCCACCGCCAGTTGTGTGGGCTAGCTATAAGAGATTGAGATGCTAGACCTGTTTGTCCAAGTGCTAACTAGGCCAGGCTAGTTACCACTTGCGGGGGAGTGTTGGAGTTCCCACATTGGAAAATAAAGATGAGTATCACTTGCATATATTGAAGGGTGAAACACTACCTATCAGCTTAAGCTTTTGGGTTAGAATTGTAGATCCCGACTTTATATGCAAGTGGTTAATTTTACCCGTTACTCTATCCGTTGTTTCTTGGCCCGCCGGAATTTTAACAATCCGAACACTTTTGATGGCTAATCTTGCGATATGTTGAGCGGTTTGCGATACCCCTCCTTCTTTTAAAGCTTGATTTCAATTTCATTTGAATTCCCTCATGATTTGAGGATTTTTGGGATTCGTATGTACTGGATTTGGACTGCGATTTCTGTCAATTTTTGCTTGCTTTTTTTTATTAACTTTGTTGTTGCGTTGGGTTTGAGAGGTTGTTTAAGGTGTTTTAACAACATTTATTTGAGGGATTGAAATTTTTGGAATGGCCTACTATTCTTGACGATTATGAATTGTGTTCTTGCCTTCGTACTGGTGTTCTTGCTCTATGAACTCAGTTACTGCCTGAGTGAGGTCATGCTATTATTTTTGCCTCATTTTTGTATAATCTATGTGGGTGCCGTATGGACAGTGGCATGATTCCTATAGTCATTGCTGGTTGGGTTCCTTCTGTGTATCTTATGCTTGGACGTATTCCTAGTGTGGTTTTGGGCTGTGCCTTGATGTTGGAACTGGTACCTGGGTATAATGGCCTTTGAGTTTTACAGCATTGGTTTATTTGTACTGGCCATGGATCTTTTGAACTATAAGTTGCAGCTGTGTTGGTCCTCACTTGCTGCACGAACATGGGTGCTTAAACTAGAGAATCTTGATGAATTTGAGGTTCTTTTGGTTTTCAGTGGTTTTATTTTGGTCACCTGTACCCTGGGAAGTATGGGGCTGGAAATGCTGCTGCCATGCTGCTGCCATGGACTGTTGAAGCTGAGTTTGGAATCACCTGCTGTTTCCCACTGGATGCTACTGTGGTGCTGCTGTGTTTGGGGTGATGGAGTGGATTAAACTGTGGTTTTGGGCTGTGCATTGCTGCTGGAACTGCTGCCTCGCTTGGTAAACGTTCCACTCCTCCCTCAACCTCCTGGACACTCACTTTTGTCATGCCTTACTTCATTTGCATGAGGGTTTTTTCTGCTCTAAATTGGTGGCTGATAATATGATTTTTATTTAATTTATGGAGTTATCTAAGTATAGCAAATCCAAGTATCTAAAGCTACTTTTTTGATGTTTCGTTACGAGTTGTTGAGGTTATCTAAGTATAACAAATCCAAGCATTCTAAAAGTTACTTATGGGGAATGTGATATTTCTTAAGGAACAACTAAAATACAAAAAAAGCATGCCACGTTGAGTACTTTTATTCATTTTCTTGTTGATGAGTTATTACATATTGAGCTTTGCTATGCTTTCTGGGGTTCTATTAGGGTTGAATTTGATTTTGGCATAGTGTGGTTTCAGAGTTGGGCTAGGTGGTCCGTAGAGAACTAGATTTATGGTTGGATTTTTGCTTAGATTAGCTCTCTTAGCTTCTCAAATCAGCTGATTTTTGGCAGTATAGACCAGAGTGCTAGCTTTTTTGTTTGAACTCTAGTCTCTAGGTATGTGGCTTTGGGAATTGATATTCTACAATAATTTTACATGCATATGATTTTGAGCTGCAAGATTAGCTTCATGTTTTGTTGGCAGGTGGTGTTTTGCCCGAGAAATCATATAATGATCATAGTTGACTGTTGGGGCTGCTGAGCATCTTTTATCCCACAACTTTATTGTGTTGGGGAGATACTTGCTGTGCTGGAGAGAAATTGGATCTGTTGGGGAGTTATTTTTGCTGAAGTGTAGATAGAAGCTTATTTTGAACTTTACCAGTTATGTCTGCCTTGCAGATGTAGGAGTTTAATTCTTTGAGTTTTATGAAGCTTTATTCAGGTGCCTGAATTGTAGATGGATTATGCACTAATTTGGAACACTTTAAATCTGAAATCCCTTGAAGGCATAGCTAAGTTTTAGTTTTTTAAAGCTTGTAATGTAGCTCGTGATCTGATACTTTAAACATTTTGTGATTTTATGCCTTTGAGTTTTTAATTTGTTTTGTACTATAGCTTTGGGAATTACACAACATGTCTTTGTATCTTTCTTTTCCTCTTCTAATATAACTTTTTATTTCAAAAAAGTACTTTGTAATATGAAAAAGAATTTGTAGCAATTAAAGTTTGCTACTAAAAATGAGCTTTTGTAGCAAAGTATAATTTGTGATAATATAAAGTTTTTACTGATTATTTGCTTTTGTAGAAAAGTATTATTTGTGGCAATTCAAATTTGTTACTAAAAATGAGCTTTTGTGGCAAAGTATTATTTGTGGCAAATCATATTTTGCCACAAAAGTCACGATTTTTGTGGCAAATTTAAATTTGCCACAAATACATTTTGTAAAGGGGTATTTGTGCCAACTTTATGGCAAATTTATTTGA